GTCCCCAAAGTAAGCAGCAGACAGAGCCAATATGGCAGCAGTACACAGAACAATTTGAGTGGGAAGAATTATAGGGAAGGTATTTGGAGATTTAAATTTGACTATTTCAGATTAAGAAGTCTGAACTTAATCTTGCAGGGAACACGTTTCTAAATAGAAGGTGACATTTGAAAGAAATAAGTGTGGAGGAAGAATACAGGATAAATTTCAGGAATGCAGAGATTAGAGACAGTAAAATAATTAGGAAATTTTATCACATTATACATGGATTACTGTAATAAAGGCATAAACTAGGTGTGTATTAGTCTGTTTCTGTTGCTTATAACAAAATACTTAAAACTGGGTGATTTATAAAGATAACAAAATTTATTGCTTACAGTATCTGAGGCTGGGATGTCCAAAGTCCAGGGAACACATCTGGTGAGATCCTAGGTGGCGACAGTGACGGTGGGGTATCACATTGTGAAAATGGTGGAGCAGAGACAGCAGAGACTAACCTCCTCATTCGCTCTCTTTTTGAAGCCCTCCAAACCACACCCCTAACCACCATTTTTAATCCATTCACTACAGCATTGTCCCACAATCTAATCACCTCTTCAAGGCACCACCTTTCCACTATCATAGTAGGATTTTTCACCCTCAACAGTTAGTAGGGATTAAGTTTTTTTGGGGGGAACATTCAATCCAAGGCAAGGTGAATGGAAACAGTAAGAGGGATTTGTAAGATAGGGAAAAGAGACTTGTTAACTGATGGGCCTAGATGAACTTTTTCCATGCCTAAAAGATAACTACATCTGATCTATGCCTCAATCATTCAGGCTTGAAACCTCAAAACTTTTCTTGCCCTTCACTCCCTCAGAGTTCTCTTCCCCAGACATTTGTCCCTTCCCTCCAAAATAGCTTTTCCAACTTCCTTTTCCAACCAATCTATTCCAGCCAAAACAAAAGACTGCATTTACCAGTTTCCTAGACACACCAGGAAATTCCCAATTCTATAACTTTGCTCATGCTATTTCTTTTACTTTTAATGTCCTCTCCCCATTCTACATATCCAAATTCTATCCCTTCTTCACACGCTAGCTCAAATGCCACTTTTTCCACCAAGCCTTCCCAGAAACCCCAACTTGAAGTAAGTACTGCCTCCCAACACTCTCCACTTTTCTCTAAACCACTTTTTTAAACCTTATATTATAGTTGTTCACCACCTCTTCTTATATACTGTATACCTCTTACAGCAAACATACCTAATTTATTTTTGTATTCCTTCTCCCTATTTTCACAAGTAGTTGAAGATCCTGATAAATATTACACGGCAAGAGCATAGCATAAGGCTAAGAGCACAGACTCTGAAGACACACTGCTTGAGTCTGAATCTTAACTCTGCTGTTTATTAGCTATGTGACCTTGGGCAAGTTACTTAACCTCTCTGTGCTTCAGTATCTTTACGTATAAATGGAGATAATAGTAGGTATTTCATAAGACTGTCAGATGATTTGACTTAGAAAGTGTAAGCACCGTAAAAGGACCTATTAAATACATAAAAATCACTCTTTAGAGTGGAAAAATACTGAATATTCTGTGATAGTTGTGTGAAGCTTTATGATCTGCGTAAGGAAAGCAAAATGTCAAAAGCAAAGCCAGTCTCTAGGTTATCTACAAATTCCTTCTAAATCTTCTTATGTATGCCCTAAGGGTTAGATGTGCCCTTTACAGTCTTCCTTCTAGCAACAATGGTTCTGTTTTAATTTGACATTTTCATATTCTGAGAAAATCTTTACTTCACCTTCCTGTGGCAACAGCCATCTAATTGGCTTCCTTGCCTCCAGTCTTATCCCCTTTAAACTACCCTCCACAAGGCTCGGAGCAGTCTTTCTAAAATGCATATCTAAAGTTTTCCCACTGCTACAAACACCCTCCATTCCATCTCCCTTAGGATAAAGTTTGAACCCCTTAGCTTCTCACACAAAATCTTCCTAATCTGGCCTCAGCCTAGTCTCGAGCTTCATCTCTCAACACTTGTCTCCTAACCATGAAACCTAAATCACCTGGCCATACCTTAAAGTTTTTTTTGTATATCATTCTTTTTGCTTTAGAACACCCCCTATTTGTTGGTTTGCTAGGGCTTCCATAACAAAATACCATAAACTGGGTGGCTTAAACAACAGCAATTTTCTCAAAATTCTGGAGGGTAGAAGTCTAAGATCAGGGAGTTGGCAGGTTTGGATTTTCCTGAGGCCTCTCTCCTTGGTCTTCTTGATGTATCCTCACATGGTCTTTTCTCTGTCCACATGCATCTCTGGTGTCTCTTTTTGTGTCCAAATTTCCTCTTCTCATTAGGCCAAATGTCAGATCAGATTAGGGTCCACCCTAACGGCCTTAGTTTAACTTAATCACCCCAAAAGCCCTATCTCCAAATACAGTTTCATTCTGAGGTTACAGTGGTTAGGCTTCAACATAAGAATTTTGGGAGAATACAATTCAGTCCATAACAACCTCTTCCCCTTTTTCTCTGCCCAGGCTAATTCCCATTTGTTTTTCCAAGACTGGCCAAAGCCTTCCTACTCCAGGCTGCTTTCAGTGCCCTTTCTCTGTGCTCCCATCAGTAAGAACCTCTGTACATTGCTGTCTTCATACTGCTACCGTACTGTTCAACACACTATCAGAATTCTCTTTTCTGCTTCAGACCGTACTCTTTAAGAGCAAAGACTATATCCTAGTACCTAGCATAATGTCTGGCTAGAAGGTATTTAGCAGAAATCTGATTATTGAGGGGAAACAGAGGAAAAAACACGGACCTTGAAGTAAGGCAAGCATGGATTCAAATCGTGGTCCTGTTGTTTACTTATTTTGTGACTTTGGAAAAATCACTAAATGTTGAATTTCCATTCTAAGGAAGTTGTAAAGATAGATAACTCAATTATAATAAAAAGCACCCAGTTGGGGGGAGGGGGTTGGTGCACAGTGGGTGGTCAATAAACGTTAGAGTAAGGACTCTGATCTTGCCTGGTTTGACACCCATTTCTAACACTTAGTAGTTAAATGACCTTGGGTATGTTTACTATCCTCTCTTTGCTTTAGTTGCCTTTGTATGAAAACACCTCATGCTGCTATTGTGACGATACAGGTAAAACATTTAGATGGATATCTAGCACACAGAAAATATTATATATGTTTCCTATTATTACAAGAACACGCAGGTCTGAATAGATATGACTAGAAACCATGAATAATTTAGTTCCTTTAATTACTGGGTAATTTAAACGTGACTACTACCTTAATGCCTCACACTACTTACCAACTAAACAGGATGGTAACTAAAGAGGTTCAAAAACTGGTACAGATGATATAAAGAGTACAAAATAAACATGAAATAACATCATCTGTCTCACTTCTTACATCGGTGTTTAATATATTTTGGGCACTGAAACAAAATCTTTAAGAAATTTTTCTACTCTTTGTGACTATAAATGCTAACCATTCCCAGTGGAGAAAAGCACTGCTTGGCTTATATTTTCAATTGTAAACTCATAAAACACGTGAAGTGGAAAGGACCTTTGGTCTGAAAGTTCAATCTCATCATTTCTTATATAAGTAAATTGAGGTCAATTTGGAATGTGCTTTTAGGGTCTTCATGAGCAGCTCTCAAGGCTGAGAACTGCAGGCAGAGAGAACAATTTATTCAAAAGTACTACTAAAGCAGGGACTCAGGACTTATTCTAGATGTTTAAAGTGTGTTGGAAACAGTATTAGGAAATAACGCCGGGAAATCCTTTTTAATCATTCAAGCTTTAACATCTGTAATTTCTGAAGTAGGTACAGGTTACTTGACCTGTAACTTCCAAGTGGGGCAGATCTAAATTTAAATCTCCACTGTTACATAAGCAAACTTTTTGAGCCTCGGATTAGTGCAACATGTTTGTTAAAGTGATTAAGTGAGCTAATGCATGTAGAGTTCATAATTGGGGGGCTTGGCAGACTGCACGTAGTTGTTTTTTCTTTCCAACCTCTTCCACCAAATGAACACAAATCTATAAGATAATAAAACACTGTCTTTCACATAGTATGTCTGGGACTTGGTGGATATTACTTAATTTAAAAATAGAAAGCTAGAATAACTGCTGCGATGATAAATTGTCTTCATCCCTGCCCTTCTCACCACCAAACGTCCTTCACAATGTGTTTTTGAAGTGTCGTGTCACCACCATTAGCATGCTATTTGAAGATCACTGTAGCTCGGACTTCCAATTCGACAGCAAAGATTTAAAGATCGGGAAAAAATTTACTAAGACAAACTAAAAACTGGAAGAATTCACTTCATTTTGTTCCTATGGTCCATTCCAGCTTGACGAATTTCCAGTGAAAAGTTACTTCTTCTGGCGCAGAAACAGGAAAAGGGTTCATGAGCAAATAACTGGGCTCACCACTATTATTACGACCCATATATATATATTTTTTAAGTGTTTGCGACATTGTTTCAATGCCAGTACTAGGAAGGACAGCTGCCAAAATCCATTATTTACGCTTCAAACTAAAGTCAACCTTTTTTCTTTTAAAAGACGTGTGGTGTCTGGCTCAAAATCAATAGCAAGAAAAGCCGCACTCGACTTAACACAGAATGAGCTCTTTCCAATAACCAACCTCTCCTCCCGCTTCCATCACAGATGGCCACCGAGGCTTAAGGTTTAATATCTAGACACTAATGCCATTCATCCTAAAAGATGGGGCTCCAGACGGATGCTGTCGGGCAGGAGACGAGAGGCTGCCAATCCTCAGAGATGCAGCTGGGGTGAAACCCGAGGCCAGCGCCCATCATCGCACCCACACTTGGGAAGCAACCCACTTCCCACCACGAGACGCGGACCGAGCGAGGACCCAGCCACCGGCTCCGGTGTCCGCGCGTGACCTCCGGGGACCGGACGAGCGCGGGGCGGGGAGGCTCCTCCGCCTTCCGGGGAAGTTGGCAAGGGTAAGCTCGAGTCGTGCGCGGGAAGGTTACTCACCAGAATGGCCTGGCGTCCTTCGTCCTCCGCCCGAGCTCCCTGAGGGCGAAGCCCCTAAAGCGGCGGCAGCCTGAGAGCGGCAGCCGAAGCTGCCGCCGCCGCCAGTAACCGCCAGGGCGTGACAGGGACGAGAGGAGGACTTCACAACATCATCACGCAGCGACCTCGGTTCTGCAGTGACG